CATATATTTGATATTAATGAATAATTTGCACTGTTATGTCATACCTGTCCACTTGGTGAGGAGGAAATCAATGCTGGAGAGGTAAGAACAGAAGACAAACCACCTGACACCTGGCCCTGTAGCATTCGTGTGATGTGGAAACCTGGATGACAAGACTGTTGTAATCCATATAGTACATTCGTTGTGTGAATTCTCATATTTATGGACAGAATTCTGCATTGGATTTCTGCTAAGAAAGGGGGCGTTTTTTGGAGGAGGTGTTTGTGTCTTGTGTTTTGCCATCAGTAGAGTTGTCATCAGTGAAAAAATGCTCGTCACCTTGGATATGTATGTATTTAAGTGGAAATCGAACGCAATTTTGTGATTTTTCAACTGGAGTTGATAACAAGGAAACGTGAAATAATTCAGCACTGCTAATCCTGTGTTTTCTGGAAATTGTTGTTGGAATTGTTATGAATGCAATTAAAAGAGGTTTCAATAAGAAAGAGGTAAGTGCATGAGGATAAGATTAAATCTCATGATAAGAGTATAAAAGAATAAGGATTGTGTGTCGAAAATATTTTTTATTAGTTATGATTACAAAGATGCTCACAGAAATGCTGGACCAGCAGATAGGAAAGCTCCATGAAAAGTGATAATCTGGCTGTTTTCATGCCAAATCTTTTTGGGTATGAATTTGTAAAAAAAAATATGAAGGTGTCTTTGTCCAGATCTACCCAGACACGGTAGTGCAGTCACCTGTGATCACGACCTTTGATCCGACCTTTGATCTGTCACAGGAAAAAATCCCCCTAAAACTCCCAATGAAGTTGTTTTTGTATCTTGACCATTGCCAGAGGGCATAAACTAGAAAATCTCCCTGGTGGACTCCTTTCACTGCCTTAAGGTCTCAATTTTCCCCTTGATTGTCACCATTTAATACCCCCCCACCTGGCTACCTACTCATCTTGCTGGTGGCTTTATTTACCTACACCTATTTTGCTGTTCATTTCCTAAAGAAATCCAAGAGCCGTGAAACAGATGAATGTTTCTCAGCCGAGATGCTACCCGAGATAGGAGGACATTTCTTTCTCCGGCAATTCTCGGGGGCAGAAAGGTGACACTTCTTTCTTTTTTGGTCTTTTTCTGGTTCTGTTTTTCATTGCAGTCTTTTTCCTCAGCTCATTGTTTCTTAGAAATTGCACATCATTATTTAATTGTTTATATTGATTAGGAACTTCTCTATGCAGCCTCTGTGTTGCAAAGTAGGGGGTTGGCTTTATGCAGCATAACAATCCGTTGCATTTGTTTGTTTCTCCTCAAGTTTTTGACTTCATAGTCGGGAGTATCAATTGTTGCCAAATTATGTATTATGGTTATTATTTGTGTACCTGTATTATTGCTGTAATGAATGTGTTTGGATGAATGCATTATTATCTTTGTTCAAACAAATGTGGTTTTATGTAGAGTAAGGTCAGGCTCTTAGATGTAAAAAGACCCAGGTAAGCTGAATATGTTGCCTCACATTACAGCAGGGACAGGTGTGCAGGGATTTCAATAATAACAGTCAAATTTTTATGTTGGGTATTTCTCAGCAGAATGTCACATTCTTCTCCCTTATACAAAAAGTTTAGAAAAAAAAGCAAAAGGGTTTTGCTTGTATGGATTTAAAAAAATATATATATTACAGTAAAGGTTATTGAACACAACAAGAAAAAAATTTGTAACAAAATGTCTTAAGCTTTGTGTTAGGTTTTTGATAATACTAGAGTAACTATATTGATAGAAGATGTGTGTAACATGCTGCATTTAGTAAAAAATATACAAGGATAAAAAATATGTCACATGCAAATATGAAGCAGTCATGGATCAGAAGGTATTGGTTTCTCACCATTTCATCTGTGCTCACTCCAGTGGAAATACAAACAGTAAGAGAGCAGCCTCTGCCATTATGGGAAGTCACTGATGTGGAGATCTACTTACACTGGTGTGTAGGCGGAGGGTTTTGTTAAAGTGAAGAATTCGGTAGCTGGTCCTGTTTATATGTCCCAATTTAAAGTGTGATCTCTGACATGGAGGAAGCAGCCAGGCTTCTGGTGTTACTCAGCTAATGTTGTGTAATGCCTGTGTTCATTTTCAGTATCAGTAGACAAAACAAGGGTATTTTTTATAGGCTAGGGTAGAAATAGCTGCAATAGTTTAAAGTACAGTTAATCTTTTCTTGTTATAAAATCAGCAGCAGTGTGTTAGGGAAACGCAAACAACGTGATGAGATTTTAATCAGGAAGTTTTCACAGGTAACAGTTAACTGCCTGCAGAGTGCACTCAAAGAGAAGACGCCACAAAAACCAGGAAAAATCTAACAGTTGAATTAATTAAGCTGTTTTTAACGCCCCCACCCCCACCTGTCCTCCCGCTTCCTCAGCCACACCCCCTTCTTTCAGCCCTCCTCATAATTACAGAAATCAAAGAGCTCCCTCCATTGTAGTATATCTCACCACCCTGTGAAGCATATTGGAACTTGGAGATAACAGTAGAGAGAGGCTGACACACCTTGCTATTGGAACAGCAGGGTGCACAGACCAGGGCCATTGTGTCATGTCTTTGATGTTTCTCCCCCTCTCCTCTTATTAGAAAGTTGATAAAGTACAGAGATAAGAGCTCAGGAATAATGGGCTAACTGAGAGAGCTGGGGGACCTGTTGAGCCCTTGGACACTTAATGCAGGCATTCATTGTAAACTCACACACGTATGCACACACACACACACACACACACACACACACACATTAAGGTTATGTTCAGACAAGACTGAATTCAATCCAATCTGATCCATATTACACAAACAGCAACTATGTAACTATGATGATCTTAGAATGCTGCACACTGAATGCTACAATTGTACAAATATATGGACAGCAATTTATGGATTCTTGCTTTGCACCAACAGCTTGATTATAATACAATGATTGCTGTTATCTCTTTATCCAAGTCTGATGCAGTCCTTCAAAATTAAGTATGACCACATCCCAAGATGCATATTTTTTGTGATATGTTATGGTTAGTTGTCAATGACAATGACAATGACAATTGATTGTACCTTTTATGTGAAGGTGTTTATCTGTAAAGAATCTGAATCTGAATAAAATGTAAACAGTTGGTCAGTAACTTGTACTGTCCATGGGATAGAAAAGACCCTAGAGATGGTCAGTTTGTGTGTGTGCTGGACTGGACACTGCCCAGTGGTGATAAGGGGACAGTTGTTTTCCTGGAGAGATAAGGAAAGTTGTCTTTGTTTAGATGGTTGTTGTTGGACCATGCATGATGGATGAGTTAACAGCTCTTGGTATGTGAAGTGAGAGGTTGGGGAGTTTATACATAGCTAGTGAGAGGTTTTACACCACTTATGTCCATTTAGCTTTTTTGGACATCAAAGGAAAGAAATTGGGAGATTGGACCTTTTGTCTATTGTTTATAAAGATACGCCATATAGTTCTCAAGTCTTAACCCTTAAATTTTCACATTATCCAGTCCCATGTTCAAACCAGAAAAAGAAAGGCAAGGGAAGACTACTTATTCTATGTTGTTTAATTGCTATAATTAACAGTAACCCTTTATTAAACATGTAAATTACCCGAAAAATTTGAACACAAAATATTCAACTTTTTATTATACATAATTATATATTATATGATACTGTTTTCAAAATATTTTCTTTTTCTTTTAAATATATTTAATTGCACATCTGTTGCTATTGTTTACCATTGTATTCGACTGTGCTTATATAGAAATAATAGCAATAATGATTATTTTAAAGAAAATATGCAGTCAGCACATTCGCGTTATATTGTCTTTTCTTTAAATCCTCAAACAAAGCAAACCCACAACCCCACAAACTTGTTAAGTCTCAAATTTTCCCATTATCTCTCCACTTCAACAACGCATCAAAGGCTGAAAAAGGAAACAGCCGGCATTGTGCTATTCACCAAGCACCTCCAAAATAAACTCAAACAATACCAGAAAAATTTAGCGCAGTAGGATAAAATTTTTTAAGCCTACTGTTTTCCCAAAGGATTTTCCACACATTAAGTAATAGCAGTGTTGACTATGTCCTCTTTGATGTCCACTGAGCCCTCCTGGTCCTGGCCTCTAATCTCACCTTTCCTGTACCCCCATTGGCTAACCATTAAGCTGGTGTTAACCACTCAGAGGGCCCGATGAGCGGCCTGAATACCTCAATGTTGTGTGAGGGTCCCCATCACATTACACACATGAGTACACCGGGCTGTTTACTCTCTCTGGCTATTGTGGTGCAGCAGTGAAGGATTTTAACACTAGTGTCAATACAGCTGGTCTTCAGTTGAAACCCAGGCATTGAGGGGAGAGCACACTCTGTCATACGCATATATACATATTGGTGTACACACACTGCTCTACTGGTATGCACGTGTGGTTACTGATTTGAGGAAGGAGGATTTCTATGTCTGACTAGACTTTTATACTGAAAGGAGATTTTTTTATTGAAAGGAGGATATAAACAGACTAGCAGAATGGCTAAGACGAGATTTAAGAGGAAAATGAAGAGTTTACTGAAATGCATTGTAAGCATGATGATGTTATTTTGCTTCAGGGGGTTTATTGTGTTATCTTTATTGTTGGCATCATAGGTTATGATGCAGCTTGTGTTTCATGATGGTAATGACTTCACTTAGTCTTGTACAGGGGTAGACTTATGAATTGGATGGCAGACCACAATTGTTGAAGTAGTTTTTACATTATACAATTCCATGCGCAATAGGATCTCTTCTTTCGTATGATGTAAGATTCTCTTTTTTTTTTTAGAAAAGGCAACTTCAAGGTCATACCTATGATGGAAGGATAAAAGGCAGCTTATGTTTCCAGTAAACTAAGAGATGGGCTGTGGGTCTTCATTTGACTGTATGTCCCAGCCCTGATACATAGAGATATAGTTATAACATATCAGCACAAATTAATGGCTATTTTTATTTTGTGTCTTTCTAGGTAAATGGACAGGACTTGTCCAAGGCATCGCACGAAGAAGCTGTGGAGGCATTTCATGGTGCCCAGGAGCCGATCATAGTGGAGGTTCTAAGGAGAGTGAACAAAAACAGTAACAACATCAGTAACAGTAGCAGTAACAGCAGCCAGATGAGGAATAGGTCGCCCACGCTCGTGTCTGTTGGCACGCAGACAGATGTTGATGGGTCTGATACCAGCAGTTACTATGGTTCATGTAGGCCGCCTACACCACCACCAAATCTCTTGGACTTTCAGCGATATGGGTGAGTAGGACTTGTTTTCTGACCAAAAAATGCTATAAGAAAATAACTGTGGTATTTAAATCTCAGTTTATGAAATATCAAAGCAGAAGAGTAGCAGGTGCCTTAACTTGAGCAAGTATGAAAGATAACCCATTAAGCCAGTTCCTATCCACTTATCAACAGAGCAACAGCAAACATAATGTTATTATAATGGTCCCAATTTATAAAATATCATTGCTTAAGTATTGGGCGTACTACTTTTTTGTCAAACTACGTACGTAAGCCAGAGGGTGGTTTTTTATTTTGTCCCCATTAATTTGAAATATACAAAATGAAATGTACATAGATGAAAGAAAACGGGGTCAGGTAATCGACAAATAACAACATCTATTCAGGTTAAATAATGGTGTTTTTGAAAACGATACGATGAGATGATGGATAAGATAGCTTTGTTGTATTTTCATGGCATAAGTGTAACAGTCCTAGTTTGTGTTCAGTGGCAAGGAGACTGTATTATCTCATGGGAAAGTTCTCTGGTGTTTGGATGTTTTCCACACTGTGTCAAATGGATGAGAGGTCTCTACATTGTACTGTGTGGTTCAAAGTTTTCCACACTGATCCACACACGGTCTTTTCACATGGTACCAAGTGGGCTAGGCCCAGCAGTTTTCTTCCTATCCAACCAGCCCCATTCCTCCGCATATTAATTAACTCTACTCTGGCTCAGTAATGAGACATATGACATTACACATGAACATTAAGATTCCATAAATTAATACAGGTGCCCTGATTGAGGATGATGTCATACCTCAGGAATATTTTTCACGACTGCTCCAGACTCTTTGACTTCAGGTTACAGCAACACTTAAATTTATGAAGTTAATTACGTCCTGAGAGAGTGCTGTAATTCGCCTCTCAGAGACTGTCTAGGTGAACTGTGTGAAATTTAAGGATTAAAGCCAGAGATTTGTTTTACTCAGGGTAGTTCAGAACTGATCTTGGCATGAAATGGAAAGAAGGTGAAGACATTGATATGGAAGAGTTACACTATAGGGGAAAAAGTTCATGAGATGGGCAGAAATCAAAGAAAAAATCCCATTTTGGATGACAATACTGGGAATGAAATCAGAGAAAAGATGATGCACAGAACTCACCTTCCAGTGCAGGAAGGGTGTAAATAAATAAATCACCAAATATTGGACAAGACGATGACGTCTGCTTCTGCTCTCAATTACCTTCTATACCTAGAGGCCGGGTTACGGAGTGTGAGAAAACAGAAACAGTTCTTTTCATGGATGACACATAGGGTGGGGATTCACAGTGATAAAATTTGATTTTCATCTTCACCTGAACATCATCAGAACTTGAATGCTTTCTTCCTGGTTGACTGGGTAACCTAAAACAAGTCCAGAGTTGATCAAAATGAAGACCAAACGGCCAGGATTGAATCACCAATTTCCAAAATCAAGGGTAACACCTTTTGTATACAAGGTAGTTACAATGTACATAAACAAGCTTAATTCGGGGCTCTTAAAACAAAAGATCGGCTCATTCTCATCTTTTAGGCCATTTAGCAGGTGAGCGACCCCAATGTTCCAGTTGGCAGGTTTTGGAGAATCGGAAAACGGGGTACTGCATTGTTTTCTTTGGGGGTTCCACCATCTCTATTTTCGGAGTTGCTTCGTTCATAAGTTTTGTTAGGCAACCGGGGATAAATGGAGAAAAAGGTCCAAGAAAAATAAATATGATCTGTATTTTGAGGACAGTTTTGTGTTGATGGGGTTGATAAGGCATATGTTATGAGAGGGCCAACCTACGCTCTGAACCCGAGGAAGGGGAATTGTTGGATTGTTTGGTTGTTAAACACATACCATTATTGGCAGTGTTGTTGTTTTCGTTTGCATCATTGTGACCAATCAATGACAGCCGTGACTGAAGTTGACGGTAAACAAGTATTTTACGTTTTGGGGACTTAGGAAACACCTGTTACTCAGAGAAAGAATTCAACCCGTAACAAAACCAGCCATGATTCCTTTGACGGATCTCCAGGCTATTACGTCTAGCGTTTTATGACAACATCCCCATGGCCTTGGGCAAGGAGTTATTTTCGGAGGAATGATCTTATCAGGATTGGTGATATTCGGCCAAGACACACAAACAGGTGGTATTGTCCATTTGTTAAATAAGCACGAGGACAATGGTGTCAACCCTCGGAAGTTGCCTTAGATGTTTACCACTTCACAGGTGCATGGAGTTGCCTGCCTCTGGAGTTGGTGCTCTTGTTCAGCAGTGAATGATCCTTGTTTTCTTGTTTTCTTCTAACATTATACCGGCATTGATACTTCCCGAGTTGTTTACTGCTTGGCAGGTGCATGAAGTTATCTTTGTATGGTAGTCAATGATCCTGATTGTCTCCTCGTATTATATTTGTCATGATCCTGCAGGTCTCAATGCCTTCATCGGGCCATCTAGATCAACAGCCATTCAGGACGGGACAATATGCACATTAAATAGAAGCTGTCAACATTTTGCGCCCAGTACAAATACTTTTTGACTCGTCTCGTGTTCAATGGGTTATAAAAGCTGTGACATTTCACCGAGGTGGGATGATTTCGTTAGCAGCTTCATTGCATCCGAACTGATGCCCTGCCCTCCATTACGGCCCATGTGTGCCCAGATGCCTAAATCGCCTTAACACTTGGCTAAATCGAGTCACAAACAGAATTACTTGTTATCCTGGCATACCACTGATGCCTTTTTTTGTCACTTCATTTAACTTAACCCGGGTGATCTTTTTATAAAGGTAGTCCGAGGTATCTGGGGTACTGTAGGGGCTAGGGTGAGGATACATACACAACCTGGCATAAGTCCAGTAGAATTACATAATTCTGCTGATTTTTACTCCTTGTTGATTCTGCTTATATAATTAAATATATAGTAGTGGATCTTTTGGTAGTGTGTCTCTTGTCAGGTTTGATATTTTGATGCATATTTTGGCACCCTAATTACCAGGATAAATAGCCATCATACAGGGTGGAGAGTTGAAAGGTGATGACAAATCATAATAAGGTTCTTAACCCTAATATAAAAAAGTTGACATCGCCCATATGGTCTTGTCATGTCTTATCCCAGCAGGGGGCTGAAGATGGCAATAAAGATAATTTCTAGCGGTATCAATAATTAACATTAAGGTACAGTTATCCCTCATAACTGGCCTTCTTTCCTGGTGGGGGGCTACCTGGTGCAGTTAATAAAGCCACTTTAGGTGTCTGGCCTGTAGTGGTGGTATTGCCCATATGTGATGGTTTTGGCTTTAACTAGCCTCTCTGCCTGGCAGGGGAGGTCTGTCATGTATTGGTGGATGTTAATGCTCCTAATTAATTGGGATATCATTGAGCTATCAATAACTCTGATACAGGATATGATTGTGAAGTGTTGACACCTCCATATGCCACTGTGAGTGGTGGAATTATAACATACCACCAGGGGGCAGGGTTAGGCTGAGCAGACGATCAGAGCTGAAAATGATCATGAATATCTAAGTTGATTAATTTGACCTAATGAATTGGAAAAAGTTTCTTGGTTTACCCCTTAATTTGCCATAAGTTAAGTTCTGGACTTGTATATGGCTGATTTTGATGAGAAATCAATAGATCTTCAGGACTTCAATGTCACAAATGCCCCCTTTCACCTGATTGTTGTTATTTGACAGTGCCATATGGCCTTGTTGTCTTTATTTACAGGGTTTCCCCCTCTTCACGGTTACTTCAGCTACCTTGTTGAGATGGTTCTCTCAACTAATTCCCCTGACTGAAAATTTTACCAAACTGAGGTGTATTCAAAGGGGGCCTTATGTCTTTGATTCTTTGTTTACCATACTTACGCCTCTTCAGGTACTTCAAAGAGGCACTCTTGTAGCTCTCTGAATATCATGTGTTCCTCAAAAATGGCCATATGTTAGTTCATTAGAAGTATAATGCATGTGATTCTTGTGGATTGCTGAAGAATTGACCTGTTTATGTAGTTTTACAGACATGATAAGGCTCCTTTTGTCACTTAATGAATTTCTATGTCCTGCGTCAAAATGTCCCATATGTCGGGTGATTAAGATTGTAAGAGATGATTCTTTTGGATTGTTGAGGAATTTCCCCCATAAGGCTGTGTTGAAGAGGTCTTAAGGATTGTATTGTGTTTTAATGGCCTTAAATATCAAAGTAAAGCACCCTCTGTGCTTCAAAAATTCACCTGATAAAATTGAACAGATGGGACATGGAGAGAGTGACCACAAAACAAACTTAACCTCTAAAACCACGCTGAATTGAAAGTATAAAATTTCACTGAGATTATAAAGCATTTTTCAAAGAACACACACAATTTGATCATTTCTTGGCTGGTACTTTGAAATAAGCCCAGGTCACTTGAAACAGGTGTTTTTGTTACTGGTGTGAAAGTAAATACCATTTGGATAAACCAAACAACTTTTTGTCTGTTTTCTGCATGTAGCACAAACATCGAGTCCATTTTGTTGTCTACTTTATTGCCATAGTAACAATAAAACAACTACTCATGTGTATTATTTTACCAAGTCCCAAAGTTAAAACTGTGATTCGGAATCATGAAATGGATACTTGATCTATGTGAAATGTTATTACACAGCTTTTGAACAATAAAAGCCTGTTATTTTGTTAATAACTAGGGATATAAATTCCATCATGTCCTGTCAATTGCCCCTCGGCAGCACATACGGCAACACATACGTGTTCATGTTAGTGTTGGCCGTAAAATTATGCATTTTCTAAGCATTATGTGAGGTATGAAATAGAGCCCTAGATATCAAAATAACAGCCAGACTGTCATTTAAAGACTTGAAGGTTATTTTAGGTGATAGAAACCTTCACTGAACAAGCAACATGCTGTATTTAAAGTTCGGGTACAAATCTAAACATTGGACATTACAATAGGTATGAAAATAAGCCAACATTGATGAGAAGAAAGGCGTATGTTTTGGTCAGATTACATAG